TAATGCATTAATTAATAGTATTAAAGTTGAAGAAGAATCAGAACCATTATATGAGAATATTCCTTATATTAATTTTAAACCAATTTTAATAAGTAGTAAAGCAAATGAAGATCTTCATAATGGATTATTTGAAGAATTTGGAAATTGTGTAAGGTCTCAATTCAAACAAAGTGCATTTGAATTATTATTATTTATTCAAGAATTACAAAAAAATGGATTTAATAGAGAAGAAATAATGAAAATAATTTCTGCAATGTATTCTACAATTCAATGTGTTGGTACATATGAATCATTTAAACAAGAACAACTCCACATTATTGTTGTTATTCAATTTATTTTATTTGGTATAGACAATGTATTAAAAGCAATAAATGATAAACAAGGAATATATTCTTTTTATTCTGTTGATTATGAACGATTATTGAATGTTGCAGATATTATAGGTGAAAAACATGTTTTTGGTTATGACAATATTTGGAAAAGAAAAACATATCAGACTGTGTTAATTCATCTTTTATCTCAAAATAATAAAGAATTAATAATAAAATTATTAAATCGTATTGAAGATAAAAATGAATTGATTGAAGAAATAATGATAGACGTTGTATTGAATAAAATAGATACTGTTGATATTTCTTTCTTAATGAAACTTCTTTCCTCTAACTAAAATGATGCAACAAAAAAACATTATTCTTTTGTTTTTATTTTGTTTCTTTTTTGTTAAAAATAAAAAAGAAGGAAAAAAAAGGACAATTTACGTTAATGTTCATGTTGTAACAAATACCCTAATGATGGATCCTTTTCTACTAAAATTTTCTTTAAATATTTAATTTCAGCCTTTAAATCCTTAATTTGCATTGTCATAGCAGTCATTTTCATTAACAAATCACTATGTTCTTTGACAGTACCATTGGAGAAGGCATCTAATTCATTTGTTAATCTGATGTACATTCTCATTGTTTCTTGTTCATTAGAAAAATGTAATGAAAGTAATCCTTGTGATTCTGGTGATAAAAACTCAAGAATATCTTTCCACTCTTTTTTCATTCTTGGTAGTAACTCATTACAGGCATCAGGAGATACCCAGGATAATTCAAAGAAATCATCTAATGCTAGGTCTCTTAATGAAGTAACCCAAGAATCAACTTGACTTCTTAATGACCCAAGTTTTTCTGATAATTGTAATTTCCAATTTTGTGCAGGTGGAATATTTTGTTCAGTAGAATCACCAACAAACCATTGGAAAGCAACAGAAAGAGTTTTTATAGATTCAATTTCTTGTTGATTCTTTGATTGAGAATGAACCAATGCACTATTAATAGTTCTTAAGAAGATTAGATTTTTGAGAGCTGACAATTCAACTGAAGGTGTTCTTTTATGAAGTTCAATAGATACTTTATGCATAAAATAGCTAAATCCAGTTGGATAATTTTTACAATCAATGATATGTTCAAGAATAGATTGAATAATATCTGCGATTTTATTAACTGATTTTTCGACGTCAGCATTAATAGTATTTCCAATAACTAATTTAAATTTGATTTGTTTCATATGTTTCTGAACAATGTTAATAACCTCTTTTAAAAACTGTTTTAATTCATTATCAAGAAATATACGAATAATACGTGTGAATATAGAATTTCGTCTAAAAATTGAACTTGGTGTTCTGAAACATTCTTCGATTTCTCTATCAATCAAATAATCTATTAACTGAGAGATTTTTCCCTCAGAAATATAATATGAAAATACCATTTCTGTATTTTTAAATAATTGTTCTGGTGTATTTAATGTTGAACAGAAATATTTTAAAACCCCTGCTGGAATGTCATTATTTAATGGTAATAAAAGCTAACAAATTACTTTTATTCTTTTTTATTAATTTCTTTTTATTAAAACAAACTGTTTGAAGTGGATCTGGTGAAAGTGATTCTGCCATTGCTGAGGCTTGAACAGATGGTAAGGTGACACTCATACCTTCTATTTTGTTATGAGAACTTTAAATTCTTTTTTTTCAAAAAAAAAAATTAAAAAAAGAAAAAACATTTTTCTTTTTTCTTAATTACTGTCATTTTGTGTTATTTTATAAAACTTTGTCAAACTATTGTATAGTACAAAAGATGTACAACCACATTTGACAGTATATGAATATTTTCTTTTTTTTTAATTAAAATTAACTGTTATACACATTTTTTGAAATTCGAATTTTAGGAAACTTTCATTCAAGACTAGATGATTTTTCTTTTATTTTAATTTGTATTTCCTTATCACTCTTTTCTTTAGTTAAGAATATACATTCTTTGCTTAGTTGAGATGCCAATTTTAAAACAATGCCATGCAATGACTCTGTATTAGCTGTTGTACAACTATTCATTGAATAATACAAAATTCAATCTCGAGATGAAATCTAAAAAAAAAGAGCAATATCCAGTGGAATTGAAAATCCTTTTAACATTCTATATTTAGAAGATAATTAAACCCAAGTAATAATTTCTTCTCATTTTCTTCTTGCTTCATTTTTGGAAGAAAAAATATTTTTAGTTTTTTGTTTTAGGCTTTTCATAAAAAACGAAAAGTCAACTTTATAAAATGAAAGTTGTGGTATTTATTATTTAATATTTAATTTTTTTTCTATTTTTCTATACAAATCCTAACTGTTTCAATCTAATAAATCAAATAGCATGCTTGTTATTGGATTTTACTTATTAGTATGTACCATAGCAAAAAATTATATTGTTAATGGTGGTTTTGAAGAAGGAAGTTCAACAAGCATTACTGGATGGAGTATTTATGGAGGTTCTAGCTCTTGTGTTATTGATTCTACAACTTATAATTCAGGTTCAAAGTCTTTACATTGTACTGACTTATCATCTAAAGACTTTGTTTCTGTTTCTCAATACCGTTCAGATCTCGTTCATGGAATTAAATATAAAATAACAGCTTATATTAAAGTTAAAAATGTTCAAAATGGAGCATTAATGTTGTTTGCAGAAAGTGCTGATTATTGGGATGGCGTTTATCTATATTCAAATTCTATTTCTCAATGTAAGACAGGAACTTGTATAGATAAATGGTATAAATTAACAGGAAACTCTGTAATGACATTTGGAAAACAGAGATTTATTATTTCTGCTAGACTTCAAGGAGCAGATGCAACTGGTGAATTTTGGATTGATGATATTTCATTAGAACCTGTTGAACAGAATGTTCTTATTTCGGTTGATTGTATTACATGGAGACAAGAAGCTTATATTGAACCATTTGAAATTAGAGTTGGGTTAGATGTTAATGACACTGCTTTTCAAGATGGGTCTTATCTTTCAATCACTGGACAAGTTATTAGAGAATCAGATAACCAAGTAGTTAAAAATATTGAAAGTTCAGAATTTAAAATGGGAATGACTTTCAATCAAATTATTACATCAACAACATTCGACCCATCTAGTCTCACACCTGGGTATTATATAGTTAAGATCACTTGTATCAATTCATTATTTGATAATAAAGTTGAAACTGTTTCGACTACTTTTAGAAAACTCAGTGCTAATCCATCTTATGACATTTATGTTGATAAGAATCACGTCACGTGGGTTAATGGTAAAAAATTCTTCCCTCTTGGATGTTATATGAATTGGTATGATGATTTTGATATTGAACATTTCAAAGACTCTCCATTCAATTTATGGAAAGGACCAGGACAAATGTCAGCAACACAAATTCAAGATGTATATGATAGGACAAATGGAAAAATTAGAATCATTAATCCATTCTCTGGTTCTATTTGTTGTGGGTGTAGTGACACTGTAATTCAAAATAAAGTAAGTTGGACTAAACAACAAGTTGAGTTAATTAAAAATGAGCCTGGACTCTTTGGTTACTACATTGCAGATGAACCTTCTACTAGTTGTGTTTCAAGTATGAAGGCAACAACTAGAGCCATTAGAGAAAATGACCCAAACCATGTAGTTTGGCCTGCTATTAATGATAGATTTAATCTTAATCTTTACAAGGAAGGATTTGATACTGTTGGAATGGATGATTATCCAGTTCAAACATTTGACCAATTAGAGTCCATTTGGGTTATGATGACACAAGGAAGAAAGAAAATGGTCAATTCTAGAGCAATGTGGAATATTGTTCAAATATTTGATTGGACTGTTTACAATGATTCATATAATCTGGACTGGAGTAAAGAATTTCCTCCAACAGAAGAACAACTCAGAAATATGATTTATCAAAATATTGCATGTGGAGCTATGGGTATTATTTATTTTGATTATTCTGAAATGAGGGTCATGGACTATAAAAACCCATTTGAGCAAGAATGGGAAAAAGTAAAGAAAGTTACATATGAACTAAGAGACAAATATGCTGATATTATTATGTGTGTTGAAGAACCACCAAATGATAAATATATTCTTCCTCTTAATGATGGATTAGATTTTAAAAATTATGTTGCAACAAGACAATGGAGATGTAATGGATATGATTATATTCTTATTGTTAATGTCAGAGCAGTAAATAACTATATATATTCTTTCACTAAAGCATCTAACAATACTTGTTTAGAGGTCATGATGGGAAATTCTTCAATTTGGACTGAAAAAGGAAATATTGTTAAATTAAATATGTCTTCAATGGATGTTGTTTGGATTAAAGGATATGAAAGTGATCATGAATGTCCAAATATTTCATATGAATCAAGTACAATTCCATTAATTCTAGTCTCAACTTTACTTCTCGTTATTCTATTAATATAAACGAGTTACTATTTAACAAATTATTTTAATTTTTTTATTTTATAGAAAAATTTTTCGGATAATAAAAATCAGTACAGAAAGTTCTTCTCTAAAAAATTAAAAAGATAAAAATATAAACGAATTATTACCTCTAAATGAAAGATAATAAATATATGAGTTATTTTAATCAATTTTTTAAAGAACGTGGCTTTTCGTCAGAAGTAAACTAAATTTATAAAAACATCTAATATATTCTTATTTTTAATGTTTGGTTTACTCTTTGTTACTCTCATTTCATTGAGCAGTGCTATTAACTTTGATAAATGGATGGCAAAAAATAATCAAAAATTCAAAGGAGTTGAATTATTAAGAAGAAGAGCTATCTTTAATATGAACTCTATGTTTGTTGCCAAATTTAACCAACAACATAATTTCCAATTATCTGTTGATGGTCCATATGCTGCCATGACTAATACTGAATATAATGCTTTATTAAAGGCTATAACTGTTAAGAATGTTGATGCCCCAGTTAGAAAAGCTGTTAAAGGAGATATTCCAGCCGCTGTTGATTGGAGAGCTGAAGGAAAAGTTACTCCAGTTAGAGACCAAGCCCAATGTGGTTCATGTTATTCATTTGGGTCTCTTGCTGCTATTGAATCAAGATTATTGATTGGTGGTTCTCAAACTTATAATGCTGATAATCTTGACCTTTCTGAACAACAAATAGTTGAC